GACCCCCCCTACCGGACCCAGAGTCTTTGTTGGACAGGCTGCTCAGCTGGGTTTCCTGGGTCTGCTCCTCTCTGCAGCTCAATCCTGAGTACGTAGCCAGCTTTCTTTTTTGCTTCCCAAGGTCTTGCTCCTTGAAGCTACTGTAGACATTTTTTTTCTGTCTCTATGTCTGTCTTAAAAGTGTGCATTTCTGTTCCTTAATGAATGCAATGTCTCCAACTGGTAGAATAGTTCTAGGAGAAGAGAAGGATCCCTCCACAGGGGTCTCCTTCACAAGGCTATGCCTGGCTTAGCCTCCTTGAACTAAAGTAGAAGTGTGTCTACTAATTTTAGGCATAGCTATTTAAAGGTCTCCAGGAATGTGGTGGTCAGTTTTCCACCCTGGCAATGGCATTGCCCCTTCCAATTCAATCAAAGAAAAATGTTTATATTTATAAAGGGATAACAAGGTATTCACACCTTGTTAACACATTAACACCTTATCTATGACTATATTTTAAGGAGGGGGATAGAAATCAGGGACCTATTCCCTCCCTTGTACAATATTTTACTAATTGTATAGATTATTCTCCTGGTTCTGCTCATTTTACTCTTCATCAGATCAAACAAATCTTTCCCAGTTTTTCTGATTCTCCCCTTTCATAATTTCTAATGGCGAAAATGCTGTTCCATTACATTCATGTATATATCTTAGTTTTTTCAGCCTTTACCCAATTCACACCCACTTTGTTTCCAGTGCTTTGTGAAAATGTGATAGATCAGTTATTTGAATTTCTCCCTCGGGCAGGAGGGGGTAGGTGAGATTCCCTAGCCTAGTTCAGAAGACTTTTGACTCTGGTTCAGCTGATCAGTGGGAGGGATGCCTACTGTTTAGACCTTCCATCCACTATGCAGGGGTAAGGCACAGTTGACTGTCTTATCCTCTTTCCTTTGAAAAAGGAGATCTTTAGTACAATGATCCACCATAACGTCAAAGGACTCATGATATAAAATTATATACACACACACACACACACACACACACACACACATATATACACACATATATATATATATTCATCTCAAGATAAAGAACTGATGGACTCAGAATGTAGATTGAAACATTTTTTCCTTTATTTTTCCTTGCTTTTTTTTTTTAAACATGGCTATTGTGGAAATATGTTTTGCATGACTGCATATGTGTAATGGGCATCATATTTGTTGTCTTCCAATGGGTGGAGGAGAAGGTGGAGAGAGGCAGAGAATGGGGAACTAAAAATAAAAATGAAATGTAAATGTGAAAGAAAGGAAAGGGAGAGCTTGAGTATTGCTTCTGTTGCAGCATACTAACATCTACACATGCCTCTTTATTTCCCGTTGTATAACTTTCAGCTTTTGTTCTTTAGAGGTTGTGGTATTTTATGACTCACAGCTATGTTAATGTTAAAAAAAAGAGGGATCTTTGTTTCAATGAGAAACTTGGGTTCATTAAAAGTCCTGTACAATTTCTGATAGGCAATGTAGCCTACTCTTTTACTCCTGCTCAGTTCTGGTCTAGTTCATGGTCCACCCACACTATCTGTCCAAGGCATAGGCACTGAAGGACCAGTTCTATAAGTTGTCTATCCAGCTGCAAATCATAATTTAGACAATGGATATTCTTCATCCACTTGGTTTTTCCTGTGTGGATAGTTAGCTGAACTCTTGTACGTTTTCATGGATCTCATTCAGGAAACTCTTCAATGTTCTAGAGCTTGATACAATTAGTACAATGTTATTAATAAGCAGGAACATCTGTAGGACTTCACCGTATAAAGTAGAGGTTCTTAATCTCTTCTCCATATATATATTTATATACACACACATATGTACTATATATACATACATATGCATACATATATTGTTAACTCTTTCAATATTAGTTTCCTATGTAATCCAAAGTATTTTAATTTATTCATTTAAAAACATTATTCTGAGAAGGAGATCATAGGCTTCATCAGATTGCCAAAAGGGATCATAACGCAAAAAAGGTGAAGAACCCTCGATCTACAAGAAATCCTCCTCACATTTAGACTCTGTGCTGGACATACTCAATGGTAGTGGCAAACATCTTTGGCAAGCATACAGCTACCTGTTTTATGCCTTGCTGGATATGAATAATTATTAGGTAGTCATACACAGTCATCTCTGTTATATCTGTCAAGGAATCTTGTGTGATTTTGAACTGTCAATCCATTTTAATAATTAAATGCTTAAAATTAATAATCAATGTTTAATACACGTTCACTGACCGTGCAGAGGTGATGATGGCTCAACTATAAAATGTGTAATTTGTGAAAAACTGTTCATTCCCTTTTGAGTCCTTCATCAAAGATGTTTTTCATGTGTGTATATTATTATAAAGGTTCAGTACTGGGAAAACAGGCATGTGGTTTTGAAATTATTGATATTTTCTTGGTATCCTTTTTTATTAATGAAATTTGTGATTTATTTCAAGCTTTATTTATCTTCCCCTATTCTAGATATCTTGAGAATTGCTTTCTCAACTCTTTTGTGAGTGTGTTCCAGCACAGACCTTCTCTATAGGTGTGTGTGTGTATTTGGTGTATTCTACACACTCTTCCCATCTTTGCTTTCTTTAGTACTATTTCTACATCCTTGTGCAGCCCACTAGGACTTTTAATGTTAGAATTCCACTATTATGGATAAAGAGTTTATAAAAATTTTTATGGATGGTTTCCATCTTTCATATGTTTTTGTCCTCTGTCCAGTTTCATTATTAAATGCCCTTAGTCAATAAACTTTTATTAAGTGCCGTTAATGTGCTAGGCACTGTGGTAATAATACAAAGATACAAAGAAAGGTAAAAGACACTTGCTGCTCTCAAGGAGTTCCCAGTCTAATGGGGGAGAAAACATGTAAATAACTATATACAAACAAGCTACATACAGGATGAATTGGAAATCAACAGCTGAAATACCCTAGAATCAAGAGGGGTAGAATTAAGAGGCTCCCCCATAGGAGGTAAGATTTTTGCTGGGACTTGAAGGAAACCAGGGAAGTCAGGGGGCAGAGATGGGGAGGGAAAAGAATGACTTGACTTGGTTGGGTTTCTCAATGAATATTCTGTAAGCTTGTTTCTTCCTCTACTGTTTCTCATTGTCTTATGAGGTGAAATTGTTCTTAATCTTTCACCGCTCTTCTAATTACAAATTAGTTTATACTCCAAACTAGTTTGATTTTGGCTGCCATATCTCTCCACCTGGGAAGGACATCACCCTAGGCTGTTTCTATGTTTGTTTGGTTTCTTTGTTATAGTGACTGATTTTCATTCTTAAGAAATGATCTAGGGGTAGCTAGGTGGTGCAGCAGATAGAGCACCAGCCCTGGAGTCAGGAGGACCTGAGTTCAAATCTGGCCTCAGACCAAACACTTGACACTTACTAGCTGTGTGACCCTGGGCAAGTCACTTAACCCCAATTGCTTTAAAAAAAGAAAAAAGAAACGATCTATATCAATGTCTGCTCCTTTATCCATTTCCTATGTTTTGATCATGTTGGAGTTGCCTCAGGTGTGCAACATATCTTCTTATGTTCATTCTTTCATCTAATTTGGTATTGTTTTTAGTTTTACTTTACTAAGTTAGTGATGGACTGTATGTAAAAAGCTGATTTAAAATGACTCCCACATTTCCAGCCGGTCATTTGCGGTCTGGTAATGATAATAATGATAGCTAGCATTCATATAGTATTTTAAAGTTTGTAAAGCACTTCACAAACATCTCATTTTATCCTCCCTATTTCCCATGGGAAATAGGTGATATTAGTATTCCCATTTTACAAATAAGAAAACAGAGGCTAAATGATTTGGTCAGGGTCGCACAGGTAGCAATTCAGGTCTTCTTGACTCTAGACCCAACGCTACCCATCAACCAAACAGCAGCTTGATAAAGTGTAATTGTAATTGAAGCCAATCCAATCAAATAAGCATTTATTAAGTGCTTACTATTTGCCAGAAGGGCAACTAGGTGGTGCAGTACCCATAAAATCACAGGTCCAGTCTCACGCCCCTATTGTTCTGCCTATGTATTGTCTCCCCTAATTGATGTTGGTTTTGTTTTTTTTTTCATTTTTAGGCAATTGGGGTTAAGTGACTTGCCCAGGGTCACACAGCTAGTGTCAAGTGTTTGGTCTGAGGTCGGATTTGAATTCGGGTCTTCCTGAGTTCAGGGCCGGTGCTCTATCCACTTGGCCACCTGGCTGCCCCTCTTGTCTTCCCTAATTGAACATAAGCTCCTTGAAAGCAGGATGGGCTTCATTTTCGCTTTGGCATCTCTAGATCCCAGCGTACTGGACCCGCAGCACAGCAGGTGCTTAATACATGCTTCCTGATTGGACCGAATACCATTTCCCAACCTTTCTTTAGCTCCCCAGGGCAGGGAAGCCTGCTAATCCAAGCCTAGGTACTGACCACAGGATCGCACATGGCAGCCCGGCCCAGCTTCCTCGGCCCGCCACGTGCCTTCCCTCCAGCGCCCCCTAGCGGGCCCTGTGGCCGCTTGGTTTTTCCCTCCCTCGTTCCCGGGCTCCGGGGAGCCGGGTCTCAGCTCTCGCGAGAGCTGCCGCTCTGCCCTTCGGGTCGGGGGGCCACCAAGCCTCGCGAGAACGGCGTGGCCACTCAGCCCGCGGCACAAGATGGCGGCGCGCTGGTCGCGTCGTGCTTGCGTTCGTTACTAGGGGTGGCGGGCGCCCGTAGAGGCGGCGGGGGCTTCTTGGAGCGAGTGGCCGGGGTAGGTTCTAGCTGGAGCCCGGGGTGGGGGAGCGGGCCGAGCGCCGTCCCGCCGCCGGCGCTACTGAAGCGGCCCCTCCGCGGCCTGCCGGGGAGACCCCGGCCTGGGGGGGTGGGCCGGGCCCCAGAGCGGAGCAGAGCCCGGGGGCCGGGGGCCTTGGCCCCGGAGCTGCCGGAGGGGATGGCGGGCCAGGGGGAAGGCGGGCCGGCGGACTGGGCCAGAGAGAGAGGCGCGTGGCCAGGCCCGGTCCGGCCGGAAGAATGAGGCAAGGCCGCCGCCGCCGCCGAGGACCTGGATTCCAATCCTGCTCCTCGCCCGGATTCCCGGGTGACCTTGGGCGCGTCACCCGAGTCTCAGTTTCCCCGGGGCTAGACCGAGAGATCTCGAAGGCGCCGTCCGGCCCCAGCTCTCCCTGACGACGAAAATCCTGAGTTCCCACATGTTACGAACTATCGGACGCCATCGATGTGTTGGCTTTGCTGAATTGCTTTTTTCCTCCTTTTTTATTTGGGATTTATAAGGTATCTAACGAGGGAAAAGCATATGTGTGTTTCAGAAATTAAGGTGAGGCAAAACAAAATAGGTCTATCAAAATTTAAAAACACCCGAGCTTGTTCCCTTGAAGCTTGATTTTGAGAGCCTTATTAAGAAAGCTTGCGCAGGGGGAAAACATTTGATTAGAGGGTCAGCAAGCCTGGTTTCACATGTGCTGTTGATACTGTGTACCTTCGGGCAAGCCCCCTTTGGCTTCCTGCGCCTCAGCGTCCTCACCTGTAAAACGAGAGCACTGAAGCAGATAGATGTTTGTGAAGGTTTCCTCCAGTTCTTCTCTAATTTTGAGATGCGCCCCATTATTTTGTGTGCCCTCCTTTTCTGATGGTCTGTGTGTCTCGCTATAACTGGAACTGCATATTCAGTGTCTGTGGCATTGGAATTTCTCATGACAGAATTGACTGGGGAAGAATCGGGTTGAGCATCACAAGAAACCTGTAAATGACTAATTTCCCCAAAGAGCTTCACTTATACCTAAATGAATCACTTTGGTGATCGGTATTGGCTCTAAAGCTCTTTGAAAGTGTAGAATTGACGAATTTGTTATTTTGTGAAGTATTGACATAAGGCATTGCTTTCAAGAAAATTATTAAATGAGCTTTTTGATTTTAGTCTTCATTTTGGAATTTACATTGAAGTGAAAAATGCATATAGAATTTGAGGATAGCGTGTATAAAATGCAGAAGAAAATGTTCGCTGCAAATTTAACCTGAAAAAAAAATTTCTTGGAGAGTGACAGGAAGAGGGGAGCAGGAAGAAATTGGGAATTTTAAGATACCTGACATAGATATCACCTGCTTTATTGTGTGTGAATTTTTTTTAAAAGCCATGATATGTTAATTGTTGTAGTCGTTCTTAATAGTTAAACATTTATCAAGTGCCCACTATGTGCAGAGCACTATAGTAGACACTGAGAAATACGCAATGATGACATGATCCCTGTCTCTTTGGAGTTTATATTCTAGTAGGGTTTATGTCATGGACAGAAATAACATACACAATAGGGGAGAGAGGCTGTGATTTCATTGCCATAAAGAACTTCTGGATGAGGCAGCTACTAATTCAGATCAACATCTCTGCATTCCTGGTGTTAGAAAATTTCTTGGAGCAACTGTCCTTATTAAAACTGGGTCTGGGGACCCTTTCAGAGGTTAAAGAGATGAGGTTAAAACAATTTTCATAATAATACTAAGGCATTTTGATCTTGGTATGGTAGATAAACAAAAGCTCTTTGAGGTCTTCAGTAATTTTTAAAAGTGTAAAGAGGTCCTGAAACCAAAAAATGTGAGAGCCCTGACCAAAGACATTGCTAGGTTAAGTGACCTGTCTAGGGTCTCACTGCTAGGTCAGAGTCAAGAGTCAGTGTCTGGACCCGAGGTCACCTTTATCCATTACATTGTCCCTCAGTACACACTAATAATTGACATGAGGAGAAAAGCAGTGCAAATGCCTTTTTTTTTTTGAGATGTGGGCTTGGAAAGGGCATCATGGAATTAGGGAGATCAGGAAGATTTTATGGGGAAGGTTACATTGGTCTGGCCATAAAAAGATGGGGTGGATGTCAACCGGTGGAGTGGTGGAGCCTGTTCTCAGCTGGTAGAAATCGAAGTGAAGGGAGTCTCCTGGTCTTGTTTTGAGCCGTTTTAGGCCACTTTAGCACCAGCATCAGCCTAGGAAGGGTGTACCAGAATTTACAGTGGTTGGAGAAGAAAATGCTTCTTTGGGGTAGTCAGCCTTATTGACCACTGGAGCTGTATATAACAACATTCCCTCTACTAAGTTCCTGTTCCACTCCCTCATTGTAGTATGGAAGTTACCCCCATAAATCCAGGCAGATGCTTGGTAATATAGCCCAAGGAGATAAACTCCTGCAAGGACTTGCTCAGCCGCAGGGTGATGCATTTTTTTCTTTGCGGGGAAACTCCAAAGGCCATCTACCAGTTTACTGAGAGATTGTGATCTGCCTAAATGAAAAGAATAACCACACAGATGAAATTAGAGCTGGTTGAAGTATATTAGAGTCTTAGCTTGCAAAGCAAGGAGAAACATCTGTTGTACTTCTTGTATTATGTTAATGACTTGATGACTGTATCACGTTAAATCACTTTTAACACTAGATGCCTTTTAAAGTCTACCTGTAACATCCCTAATCTGGGATCCGTGCCTTTCCAGAGTTTGGTATACGATTGTAATTTGCATTAGTACTACTAGTCATTTGTATTATGTTTCTTTTTTTTTTTAATCCTTCCTTTTTTACTTAGATCAATTTTATACAAAATCTCTCATGTACGCAGTTGCATGGTCTTCTCAACAGAAATCTTCCTGGCATTCTCATTGTCTTGCAAACAGTCTCCATATTTAATGAGTTTATGTACCATCTCTTCTTCTGTGTTGAACTTTGTATGTCTGTATCCTCTTTTCTTTGTTTTTCCAGCTTTCTTTTTCTTCATCATGTGCTCCACTCTGCTCCTCCTTCCCTCCCCATCCTCCATTGCACACAAGCCAGATTAAAATGTGATTAGGAAATATTTATAGATAATATTTCATTTAAAAACTGAGTCAGTGTGTGGCCTTCAGGGATATTCACTTACAGAGTAGTAGTTCCCATTTCTCTTTGAGCTTGACACCCTTGCTCTGGGTGACCCTTTCCATCAGATACTGTTTGCAGTAATCCTAACTTTCCTGTTATGGGTTGGAACCAAGGAGAGCGGCTTTTGGGACAAGGGCCAGAAGGTATCCATACCTCTTTGAGAGGGAGGGAATGGAACTGAAATTGAACAAGAGGGCAGAGCCTCCTAGGGCACAGGAGAACAGCAGAGAGCGAGAGAGGCTATCCCACTCTTCCCCTCATTACTCCTCCCTCCCCCCAGGGAAGGACTGAGGTGAAATACATAGTGATTGTAGAAGAACCTTGTTTAGCTTCCGAGTGCTTTATCTGTCTCTGTCCCATAGACTTGTATGTGAGCCTGTTGAGCCCCTCCTGATCAAGAACACTTTCATTTTTCAGTTTAAAAAAGAAATGCTGTGTTTACCAAAATTATTTTAACTCCGCACTTATAAGGATTTAAATTATTGCAAGTAGCTGAAGGACTAAAGTGATGTAAAGGGGGGAGAAACTGTCTTTGAAAAGGATACTATTCCCAGTAGCTGAATATATTTACCTTATTATTAGTAATTATCTTTTAATTCCTCAAGAAGGCTATAGTCTCTTTGAGAGAGGAGCTATCTTCTAACTTTCTTTCCCCCAGCTGGCAATATGGAAGTCTGAAAGGGAAAAATTTGAGGAGAAGCCTGTAGTTTTTTGTTTAAATCTGGCCCTAAGACACTTAAGTGGGCAAGTCACTTAACCTCTGCCTCATTTTCCTCAACTGTAAGATGAAGATAATGATAGAATCTGTCCCCCAGGATTACGGATTACTGTGATGGTCCAGTGAGGTAATATTTATAACATAGATATTCTACTATAGATAATTATTTATATTTATAAATATTTAGAAAGCACATTGTGTGGCATACAGTAGGCATTTAATAAATGCTTGTTCTCTTTCCTCTGACAAACCCTGGTCTTGGAGTAGAGGCAGGAGCAGTGTTTGGATCCACTTCTACCCAGTGCTTGAATTAGCGAGTGATTCACAGAAACCTTTTCGGAATTTTGACTTTGCCTGTGTTCGTGCTTTTATGACTTTTTCCTGAGAGGTCCAGGTTTTATATATTTTTTTACCTATTTGAAATAAATTCAAGAGTTTTTATTTTGTTTTAATATAGATTTCTTCAACCCTTGAGATTGTTGGAGACACCCTGGGGATAGAGTGAAACGAGAGTTGGGAATCGCTTGGGCAAGACAAAGAGCTGCTTGTTCTCCGCCATATCAGTTGATTCCGGGAAGATGACTGGCCTCTCACAATAACACATGTTACTGAATCTTATCACTTAAATTGACACTCCAAAAAAGGTAGTTGTCCCTTTCCTTTTTTAAAAGTTGATGCACCTATATTTTAAAATTTAATTTTTAGTTTTTTATTTGATCGACAAAGATGTAATAGGATTAAGTATTAGCTATTGTAGTAACTTATGTTTTCTGTTCAGTACTAAATGTTACTATTTTCTTCTTTTAGGATGGCTTTGAATAAATCAATGCATGCAAGAAACAGGTACAAGGATAAGCCTCCTGATTTTGCGTATCTGGCATCCAAGTACCCAGACTTTAAGCAGCATGTCCAAATAAATCTGACTGGAAGAGTAAGGTAGGTCAATAGGTCAACAAGGAATATTTGATTTATATGGGATCTTGGTGATACATACTTCAAATATGATATATATTATGGACACGAGGAGACATCATGAGTATGTATCGAGGCCATTATGTATATGACTGGGGATGTATAGTGATTTGGGGCGGGGGGGGCGGCGGAACAGGGGTTCAGGGGGAGAAGAGGTTGGCCGAAGCTGGAAACGTGTTTTAGAACATCCTGTGTTATGATAGTAGATGTTGTACAAGAAGAGCTTACTACTCTGTCTGTAAGCTAAACGGGAACCTCAGGAACTGCTGCTTCTGTCCCTGGTAACTGCATGGTGATTAGAAATTTGAAGCTTTCGTACCTGCAGGGTAGAATCATGGTGGCAGCAGCAGTGAAGGAGCAGCAGTGGCTGCTGCTGTAGGAGAGGTGTGGTGCTGTTGTTTCTGGTGGGGGAAATAACATCTGTGGAAGATTCAGCTATTCAGCCTGCTTGTTCCTCATAGCAATAGTAGCCTTTTTTCCTTCTCCCTCCATATTGTGGGACATCGGCAGTCTGGGAGCCAAATTGACACTTTCCCAAGATGATGACCGTTGTTTTTTTTCTCCAAGAGACTGGTAAAGGAAAAACTAGGAATTTCCTAGTTCCCCTCAAGGTTGTGGAATTTAGGAATAGGGCCAGGACACTGCCTGAGTCCTACATGTTCCAAAAAACCCTAATGTGTAAAATGTCAGTGGTCTTTGTAGAGGTGGGTGGGGCTTTAGATGAACAGCACCAAGGACAAAGTTGTAAGAGTTTCCAGGCCACCCTGAGAGACGCTGAAGCTTAGTGAAGAATGTTGACTTTGTGGTCAGGAGAGAAGTGGGTCAGAATCCTGCCTTGGATGCCATGTGACTGTGGCAGATCATTTAATCCTCCGGGTCTCAGGCTTCCCCCCCCCCCCCGTAAAAATGGGGGAACTGTTTTACTTTATTGTGAAAGGCAGATTCTCGACAATGAATGGAAAGTGTTTTGTAAATCTTAAAGCATATTATAAATGTCAGCATTTTTTTCCTTTGGCCTTCTCACCTTTTGTGTATTTTCTTTTCTAGGTATTGAGAGAAGGAGAATGGAGGGAAATCCCATTTATATCCTAGCCTTTTCTTTACCAGTCTTTCAGGAAAACTTAGACCCTATGTTTTTCTTAAATTCACCTAGGTTCAAGGCTGTCACTAAACCTATACCCACAGTTCTCAGGAGATTGTTTCTTTTGGCTCAGTTCAAATGTTTATTAACTACTTAGAATTTAGTATGAGTACCCAGTAGTGCACTTAGTAGGTACTTAATAAATACTGATTGATTGATTGCCTCAGGGGCAGTCAAGTATTTAAAACACTATTCTGACTCCTGCCTTTATGAAGTTAAGATAGCTCCATTTTCCAGATCAGGGTTCTGAATAGAAGAGAAGAGGGGGTGAGGGGAGTGACTAAGGCATGAGAAGGAAGGGAGTCTGCTGTGTGTGGTGCTGTGACACATGAGTGCCAACACATTTCCGAAAAGCCAGCAGCAGGTGGGCTGGTGATGGTTTAGGCCCCAGCTAAGCATCTGTGGCAGTTTAGAAATGATGAAGCCATTCTAGTCTTAGTTGGAGGAGAATGGATATGAGAAAACAAGTTGGGGCTCTGAGGTCTGGTACAAAGTTGACCAGGTGACTGCCTGTGGGTGTGAGCCTGGGTGTGAGCCTGGGATTGTACGGAAGATCCTCCAAGTCAGCCACTGGCTTGTGCTGAAAGTACTGTCACTAAAGTGATTGATGCAGCTGTTGTCTGTTGCGGAAAGCTTCCTTGGCATAAAGTTTATTGACCCGTCAGCCTTGTCTGTTTTTTGTTTGCATTTTTTCTTTAAGTTTGCCTGGATTAATATCTTCTACCATAAAATTATAGTAATTGGCATTTATATGTTCCTGTAAGATTTACAAAGCACTTTACCACCACAACCCTTTAAGGTCATAGTACAGATGTTATTTTCCTGACCTCGCAAAGTTAGAAACTGAGGTCTCGAGATGTAGGCCATGTCTCCAGTTTGTGTCAAAGCTACAATTAGAACTTGGCACCAACGCATGCATACACTCCCTCCAGAATGGAAATTCATTAGCCACCTTTTCTGAAGGTAGTACCACCGATTCACCCTTGGTAGGAAATGTACCTACCCCTGCAGTGGACATTCTTGCCTGGTTACTCTTGAGACCTAAGGGTATGTGTTTGTCTCTCCTACCCTAAGTAGTATTTTGGCATTCTGTCTGTTGACTAGAAGGAAGGTGCCTAAGTCATTCATGTCAGTCTGAACTTGGTCTTCTGTGCCAAGTACTGGCCTGGAAGCTTGGAAAAGACAAAAATGAGACACCTGACATCACCAAGCTTAGTCAGCAGGATTGGTGCTGTACAGGTGGGACACACATACCTGTCTGTTCTGGTACTCTTCAGTGGACCACCCACCATGACATCATCAGCTTTCTTGGCTAGCCCACAGAAGCACTGACAGATAGATAGAAGGACTTTCTTCATTTTCCTGACTTTGTTTCCCCCCTGTTGCATTTCCATCTGTGATGGATATAGAGACCACAAAGTTAATCCACAATTGAGTCCCTTGAGTTTCGGTAGCTCAGACTGTGGCTTCTGTGAGGCGTGAGGTAGAGTCCATCGGCCATGGGCAATCTGCCTTATTCTTGGTGACTGTTCCTCTGTGTCCTTAGGTGCTCATGGTTATTGTTGATAATGGTGTCGAGACTGGGGTGACTTCTCTAGCATCTTGATAAGCAGCTTCATTTTTGTGGTAGGATGAGGATGACTATTTTTTGTGCTTTTCCTGTTTTAATGGAGAGGTCGGAAGGGTTAATGTGAGCTGCCAGAACCTGCTGTGGTGATGGTGAGGGCTGGAGCAAAAGCACCACTGTTGGTTGGAGTACATGGGGTGGAACTTTAACCAGAGGGATAGGGACTGAGGATAGCTGGGGGTGGGGGCTGTGGCTGGGAGGTGGTATTAAGATCAGTAGCTCATTTCTAATATTGTGCAGCCTCTTCCCAGCCCCTGCTCCTGCTCTACTCCTGGGAAAAACTACCGATTCTCAACTCAGCTTGTTTTCATTATTTGCAAAAATGTTATGCGCAGCTTTTGTTTTTATATCGCCTTAATTTCCAAATCCATTCCTCACCCTTCTCTGCCATTGAGCAGTCCTTTGTAACAAGAGATAAAGACAAAAAGGAAAAGGGAAAAGAGTGCAGCTTAGCAAAAGTAATAATGTCCACTGAGTCTGATGACACTCGCAGCATTGCATGGGCTCAGCAGCCCTCTGCTGAGACAGCAGGGAGGGCCCTGGCTTTCTCTGAGGCATTAGCTTGGCTCTCATAATCATGCAGCATTGAAGACTTTTGTTGTCGTTCGGTCCATTTGCATAGTTTTCAGTTTTATTGTTTTCCTTGTTCTGCTTCTTTTGCTCTGCATCAGTTCATGCAAGACTTTCTCTGCTTCTTTGAATTTTGAGACTTCTGTTCCTTTATATTCACTTACTACTTTGTTTAACCATTCCCCAATTGGTGCACCCCTACTTTGTGTCCAGTTTTTTGCTACAGCAAAAAAATGTTTTTATAAATATTTTGGTGTAAGTGGGACCTTTTGTTTTTTAGCCTCTGTGGGGGGAGAGAGAGAGAGAGAGAAAGTGTGTGTACACATACATATATGTGTATAACATACACTCAAAGGGAATGAACATTTTAGACACTTCTTGAATATGATTCCAGATTGTTTTCTGGAATGGTTGTACTAATTCTTAGCTTGTTTTAGTTTGCCTGTCTTTCCCCAGTCCCTGCAACGTTTTATTTCCACCTTTTATTGTCCTTGACACTTTGCTGGGTGTGAGGTAAAACTCAGAGTTGTTTTTGGCATATATTTCTCCTAGTCATTTGGAGCAGTCTTTCATATGGTTGTTAACAGTTTGGAGTTCTTTTGAGAATTGTTGTTTGCTTTAACTACTATCCATTGGGAAATGATTCTTATTCCAATATAGGTGTGTTAATTCCTTATATATCTTTAATATCAGGCACTTATCTGAGACATTAAATGCAAAGGATTTTTTTTCCTTAATCATCAACTTCCCTTCTTATCCTGAATTCATTGATTTTGTTCTTGCAAACACTTTTCAACTTCTTTTAAAAAATTTTTTTTTCAACCTCTTACAATTAAATTATTATATCTTCTTTGTTTGCCTTTAACTCTTGTTTGATTAAGAGCTATCCCTCTAGGCATAGCTGTGAAAAGTACCTAATGTAGTACTCTTCCAATTTTTTTTAATTGGTGTAGTGAATGATTTGGATCCCAATTCAGTTCAGCTCCTTGGGTGGTTTTTTCCTGGCCATTTTTTTTTTACTTTTGTAAACTGCCCCTTACTTTTGCGAAGACAGAATGACTTTTGAGATGTGTTGGGGGACAGTTAGGATAATATGTATGCCTTTTAAATCGTAGACATCTGGTGTGTGGCCATAAGTAAATCTGGGTAAACTTGGATATGATCTGACTTTTCCTGTGATGGAGAAAGAATTGAGAGTTTGCAGTTGGTTTTCAGCTCCTGGCTTTGGTATTTGGGCAATTTAGAAGATTCCCCAAGTTAGCTGATTGGTGCTTCTCTAGATCTTAACTGTTCAGAGGTGTTCTTCCTTTGACAGCCTAATAATGGATTTTCCTTCTGATTAAAGGAATTCTAATGTCAGTAGGATGGTAAGAAATAACTTTTACCTTACAGATTTATTTAGATCAAAGCAATCAATGGCTATTCCAAGACTGAAAGAAAAAAATAGTAAATGAACATTTCTAGATTTTTCAGATGCTTAATTTCAGATTGAAAAAATGAGACTGTATGGCTTAGAATAAAACACACAACTAAAACCTTTAACATTAGAATATGTTGCTTTGAACTGCAAGAAAAATGATATATTTTGAAAAAAACTTTTTTACCCTCATTTACTTCTAGCCTTTT